TACTTGTATTTGATCTTAGTGAATATCAAGAAGAAGGCCCAATGATCGTGGCATGGGGTACAATACTACCTTGATTATTCTGGGGAAGCTCTTTAGTTGATGGTACTGTTAATACGAGTTCTTTTAAGGCACCTTCATGAACATTTTAGGGAGGCTCTTCATTTGAAAGTGTTAATACAAGTTTTTCTATAAGGCACCTTCATTCTCGATAAACCTGACATAGTAGGTTGATCAATTCAGGTTTAAATGAATTAAAGTTTTCTTCTATGGCCTACAGTTCTACAAACTTGGCTTCACCCCTTAAGACTCCATTATCTCCTCGAGAAGACTCATCCTCTTCACATGAGTTCTCCCCCTAAAAAGGTGAACTGAAAACTCCCCTTTTAGAGTAAAAGTTCGGTCTCCCAAAAAACTCTATCTAAGGTGACATGCATCTACTTAGCTTGAGGTCCATAAAACTCATAGCCCTTCTACGATATCCAACAAAAACATATCATTTTTTGCATAAGGGTTCGATTTACTCTGTAAGGCTTTGGGAATATGTACATATATCGTACACACAAACACTCCAAGTTTGAGGTTTGACAAATTAAGATAGAGCTATAAGAGACTGCAACTTGTGTTATTAGAGTTTTGGAGTCAATAAGTAGGGAAGATACCTAGTTGAAAATGCAAACATAAAATTTAAATATCTCTCTGAAGTAAAATCATGGGATGCATGTCCATGTCCATTATTCCAAAGAGGTACACATACTACTTCCATACTTTACCTATTCTTCCTTTCTATCAGGCCATTTTGTTCTAATGTGTATGTATAAAAAGTATGGTTTTGGATTTCCAACTGGCTAAACACCCTTCAAATGAAGGATTAATGAATTCCATAGCATTTTCAGACCACCAAATTGGAATTTGCCATTGATATTGGGTATGCACCATGTAATAGAATTCATTGAATGTTGTACATGCATCACTCTTTTTTATGGAGCAAATACACCAATGTAAATCTAGTGCATTCATAATTGAAACTTGAAAGCAACAAAATAATAGGCTTATGAAATAGATTAAATCTTGCTAGGCCCTCAGAAATATAATATATAACAATAAAAGGTTCTGAGATCAATGGCTTTTCATTAGTCATGTAAATCACATTTGCTGTATGTTGTGACTTCTCTTCTCGGGTTGCTCGAATGTATCCTAGTATGTATTATTGATTTGCCCTTAAATGTTCTTCCTTGGTTTCTGTGAAAATCTTACCAATCTGAATATTAGATTATCTCATCATACCATTGTTGTTCTGAGTGCCCTGTTTTACCATAATGACTACAAATATAATTGTTAGATTTTTTTCTTTTTACTGTGAATTATGTGTTGTAAATGGGATGATGGAGTTTGGATTCAAGGGTGGTTGTGTTGGATTCGTCATAGAGGAGTTTTGGTCTTGGTTTGCCATTTATGTTTGGCTCTAATGCCAAGTAAAATTAGAAGGGTTCGTGATGAATCATATTTGATATTTTTTTTCTTCTATCATGAGATGAATATCTCTAAGTAATAATTGTCAGAGATACTTATGCTATTGAGGTAATATATTAATAAAAAGTAATAGATTATTCTCACTAATTGTTGATCCCTATAATCATGGTATTTCTTAATCTTAGTAGTTGACCAAATCTCTCACTAATTGTGGTCCTTATAATCATGGTCTCTCATAATCTTGGGAATTGAACAGTTATGCCTACAATGATATATACAACTCACAATAATTCATAATATATTGTCAAAAGCTTTGTATATGCAAATTTTCCCTCCAAAATATTATTAGATAGATTTGATAGGAATATGTGAAAATAAAATTTTGCATCACTGAAATATTGACTAAAGCTCCAAAGTTATATCATGAAAATTTTAGCGATACATATTTTGGCCATACAAAAATCTTATCTAATTTCTTAAAGAACAACGACTCATTTGGTGGTCAGATAGAATAAGATGCACTATTATACTACATTCTTTATCTATTATTGGATAAGCCAACATAGTATAATAAGCTTATCTCGTCGTTACATTTTATCTTATGCATGTTGGGTGTAAATAGATTGGGTTGGATTAGGCTATGTTTTAAAGAGGTCAAACCTAATCTATATTTAAAAAAATAAAAACTTAGACCTAGACTTGTTAGCCTGTTTAAACCTATTAAATATTTAATAATTAAAAAAATAATTCAAATAATATTACATTATTATTCAAATCATTAAAATAATAATTTATTTAAAATAAATAATATGATATAAACCAACCTGTAGATTTATAGACTCGACATGTAAAAAAAAGTCTATGACCTACTTCCTAAATAAGTTTATTTTTTAGATTTACCCCTGACCTATTTGACCATATATAATAGGCAAAGTCTAACCTGATGTAGGTTGAGTTGTAGGCCCCTATTAGGCCGGCTGATCCATTTACATCCCTACGACTATGGCATGATAAGTTGTCCTAAGGCAACTTAGGTTATAATTGAACAGGATAACATAAGAAATATTGTAATACTCCTATTTCAAATGTAGCCCTTTGCTTCTCTTATAAGAACTTTATTGAAATATGAAAGTCAACCCTTGCCACTGGCCAATCCCACAACCACCATTGTCTCAACCACTGCTATCATCCTCGACTAACTACTAGAGCTGGCAAAATGGACTCGGCTCGGCGGGCCAACCCGCCAAACGGGGTGGGACAGGCTGAGTTTTTCAACCCATCTCAAAAACAGGGCGGGGTGGGGCGGGCTCATTTTTGGCTGGTTGATGGCGGGCATAGGCGAGCCGAGGTGGGTCAGTGTAAAATAGGCTCGGACTGGCGGGCTAACCCGCCAAACGGGACAGGACGGGTTGAGTTTTTCAGTCCACTTTCAAAAGCGGGGCGGGCTGGCTCATTTTTTGGCAGGGCGGGACGGGCCGCCCACTTTGCCACCTATAACTACCACCACCACGACGATCATCGGGCACTAGCCATGGCCAACAAAAGAGCACTAAATTTGAGTCATGACAAATTAAATTTTAAAAACTTATTATAAGTTACATTTAAAATTTAGTATAATTTTGAATAAAATGTGAGGAGAGATCTTTTGACTCCTATGTAACACTAAAAAATCATATTTCATATCTCAACCGTTTATTTTCGTCCATCTAATAGCTATAATTTATTTAGAGTTAATAATTAATTAAATAATATAATTTCATAAACTATAACTGATAAATAGACGAAATCACATAAAAAGTAAGATTTCTTTCATAAAATATTTATGAGATTAATACTTGTCTTTTTAACTACTGTATAGTTGTATCATTACAGTTAAAACTACTGTATTTTATGGTGAGAGAAATAGTTATACAATAAAAATTATGATAGTAGAAAATGAGAATTTTTTTAATTTGAATATTAAATCAAAAATAATAATTTTAATTAAAATGACTATGTTTAAAAGGATAAATATTTTTTTTTGGGAAAAGTTCACTAATGTTGTGGTTTTTTTATCACACATCCCTGTGATTTGCAAAAGGGTATGTTTTTTTATCACATATGCCCACGTGCTTATTTATTTTTTACAAATCACATGGTCATATGTGATAAAAAAAACCACAGGGACATAGGTAATTATAAAGCAAAACTTTTTCCTTTTTTTTTTTTAGTAAATACCCTTTTCGGTCCTTAACAAGTTTTACGATGTCTTCTTTAGTCCCTAGCAAATAAAAAGGCTATTCGTGGTCCTAAGAAATTTAAATTGGACCCATTTTAGTCATTTTGAAGGATTAATGTGGGTCTTTTTTGAATTTGTGAGGGACTACAATTTCAACTAAATGAGTCCGTTTTGAATTTCTTAGAACCACGAATAGTCTTTTTATTTGCCAGAGACTAAAGCTGGGATCGTGAAATTTGGTGAGAATAAAAAAAATATTTACTTTTTTTTTTTTTCAGTATTTGTATTATAAAATTCAAAATAGTAATAGAAATGCCGTGCGAAAGAAGTGGCGTTCAGTATTGCTACCGCCTATTTCTCTGTCCTGTCTCAGCGTCTCTTTCGTGTTCTCTCCCTCTGTTGATCGTTCGCATTGCGTATGCCTGTAAGTGTAGCCATCCAAAATGCACACACACACACACACGCGCACACTCTTTTCTTTTTTCTTCCCAGTTCATGATCATAACTTCATTGCACGTCTTGGTTTGGTTTTGAACTTTCTATGCAATTTTAGAGCTTTTTGGGTTATTGTGTTAAACCCCATTTCATCAATTTTGAAATTTTGAACTGGGTTTGTTTTATCTTTCTCTGCTACTTCCAACTCACATGTTTCTTCGCAGGAAATGACAGTGATGATGATGATTTGATATACATTCGTCAAGTTTCTAATAATAAGTTTCTTTTCTATTTTCTTTTTCCTTTTCAAGCGAAAGTAACTACTCCACTTCGAGCATTTTCAAAACCCTAGACCCATACGGAGATAGTTCTCTCAGCACCATTTTCACTATTTCCAAGACTCAAACTTTAAAATCTTAGTTTAAGGAATAACTTTCTTACCTCTTGAATCAAGCTTGTTGGTTAAAAAGAGTGTTTTTCTACTGTTCATTGTTTCATGAATGGTTCTTGTGAATTGGAATGGGGTCCGGTGATCGTTTTGTTGTAATGGTGTAAAAAAAAACTTGCTTTGTACGTTTCCATTTTGCTATTGCCAATTTGTTCTCTGTTTATTAATTTTTTCTTTCTTTCTTTCTTTCTGATATTGCATTGAATACTGTGTTTCATGGTCGGAATGAATGCTTAAATTAAGTTCGCATTCAATTTCACTATTGCATTTGTGTGAACAAAAATAAAATAAAAATCCTATTGTATTATCCGAAACCTGAATATATAAGTCTATTGAGATGCATTATAAGTAAATTGATAACTTACATTTCTTTATGCTTTCAATTTTCCCTAGATTATCAATGAATTAACGTTTCTCCTCTCTTGCCAGGTTGGGGTCAATGAAGAAAACACAAACTTCTCATTTCAGTGGGACTCTGCCCTTCTCTTCAAATTCTGTGGTTACTGTACGTAGCAGAAATTTGAAGAAGAATGAACTCGGTGGTGTCATATTTGGGTGCAAGAACTCTACAATAAAAGAATGTCTATCCAAACAACTCTTTGGTCAGTCTTTTTCATCTCATTGCTCTTCTTTTTTTCTTTTTTTTTCCCCTTATAAATATCATTTTGGATAGCTATTAGTATGAGACTAAAAACACTAAAATGATAATGATATTCATCATTTTGAAATTGACATTGTTCTATTCCCATACAAGTCTCCACTCTGTGGCATGGAAACACTTTCATCTTTACATGAACTTATTGCTTAAAATTTTTGTTATGGATACCATAAAATCATTGGCATTGCCAATAAAGTTGTAATGTTTCAGGCATTATGGTGACTTTTGCTTATTTTGAAGGTGAGGGTTGTTGTCTCCAGCTCATGGAAACTTTTATCTGTTTTAACAGGCTTACCAGCTCATCACTTCTCTTATGTGAAGAATATTGAACCTGGGTTGCCTCTGTTTCTGTTTAACTATAGCAACAGGAAGCTTCATGGAATTTTTGCGGCCGCTAGCAAGGGGAAAATGTCTATAGACCCTTATGCATGGACAATGGATGGTGCAGTGAGAACAGAATATCCTGCACAGGTATCACTTGCTTGCATACTATAATTGATAAGGTTCTATTCAAGACAATTGTGGTAATGATTCATGAAAAGGCTCTTTTGTTCATACCTTTCTGTTATTAATGTTTAAGGTGCAAATTCATGTCCGACTTCAGTGCCACCCACTGTCCGAAGAAAAATTTAGACATGTCATTGCAGACAACTACCACAAATATAACCATTTCTGGTTTGAGCTAGACCATGGACAAACAAGCAAATTGATTACCTTATTAGAATCCTTAGCAATTGCCCCTGGTAATTCTGACATACGGAATACAACGATGTGGATAAATGTATCTCAATCTCTTCCATCACTTGAAATGCCAAGGGAAGGTGAAGCATTTAAAATGCTTGAATCAGAGATAGAGCATTTAACTCACTTTAGTACAAAATCAGATTCAACTGAAAATGATTTTTTGTTTGATGGATACATCCAGCCATTGGATACTCCAGTAGTTGAGAATGAAGTAAACCAGGATGAGAAGAACCTCATATTCATGAAACTAAAGGAATTGGCTCTGAACTGTGAAAATGAAGATCTCTCCTTGGCGAACAATGTACATGATACTCCTGATTTGAATAACATCGGCTTTGTGGAAGAAGGTTCTTTCGAGGCACCAGCTGGTTTAGACAAGAAGGAAGAGAGTCCGAGTCCTCCATTTGAGTGTCAATATGACATACCTCAGGTGGTTGAGCATGTTTGATGGAAAATGTTAAATGTGATATATTAATTTTGTATGCAAGCAACTAACTTGTAATGCATTTATAGTTGGTGCAAGCAGTCAAAGAACTGACGGATTTCAAGAAAATACAAACCGAGAGGAATTTTTACCTGGAGCAGAAGCTGGTACTCTTTGCATTGTTGTAGATGCTATCTAAAATTTCTCCTATTTCTCAATTATTTCTCCATCCCTAACATCTGTAAGTGTATTTCGGACATGCATTAAAATGTACAAGGTCATCATCATAGAAATTGATCAAATATGTGGAACTTTTCAATCCGCCATATTTGTAGGTTCTTGTTTTGGAGTTATCCTCATATAGAGTTTTAAACTTCTGTTACTGTTTGAATTTCACAAATATGCAGATCACCAGCTGGTATGCTTGTCTCATTACATTTGGTTCCGTAATTTAAAACTTCCTTTTTAATATACCTATTTTTACTAAGTTTTGGTTCCCCTGCTGTGACTGCAGTGATGCAGTGGGAGAGTGAAATAAATAAAACAAGATGGGTCCAATAATTTAACTATAAATAACTCACATTTTCTGGTTCTTTCTCCCTCCCGAATGCAGCGTGTTGCAATCCCTAGTTTTCAGCATCTAGAATGTTTTATTTTTCCTCCTTAATCTTAGGAGTTTGTTTCGTTATTTGTTATTTAAATTCCTAGGATTAGTTTGTTTCTGATATTTTTCCTGTTTAGTTAAAATAGGATTCAGTTTTCTAGTTTTATCTCTTTCCCTGATTATAGGGATTTGTTGCACTGGAATATTTCTGGTGTCTATTTATTGTACGTTTTTTTCTTTTAGTTTTAATGGAAAAACTGGTTCCATCATTCAAACTTTCTATATGGTATCAGAGCTTGATTTTTAAGGGACTGATCCACCCATGGCTACCAATGTGCCACTCTTTGGCACCATGAGAGCCTACCAAACTACTTCTTCCAATACCACCGGTACAAATACCACTCCAACAACAACCCCACTCAATGTTTCAGCATCAAACCAAACCAACAACAACTCAGCAGCTGTCATTACCAACGATAGTCCAGCATTAGTCATCACTGGTCATCGATTCAATGGAGACAATTATTTGTTGTGGTCACGCAGCGTTCGTATGTTCATTGGAGGCCGTGGCAAGGGAGATCATCTCACCGGTACGGGTGATGCTGCTCCTCTGGAAACCAGTCATCCACAATACAAGAAGTGGTCCATTGAAAATAACCTTGTGATGTCTTGGTTGTTGAATTCCATGGTGCCTGAAATAGCTGAAACATACATGTTGTGCTCCACAGCCAAGGAAATTTGGGATGGCGTGAAGGAAGCCTTCTCTAAGGAAGATAACACAGCTGCCTTGTTTCACATCAAGGGGATTCTTCGTGATCTCAAACAGGAGGACAAGGATGTCACCAGCTATTATAATTCACTCCTAAAATTCTGGCAACAATTGGATCTTTATGATCAACATGAATGGACTACTCCAGCCGATACTCTTCAGTATAAGAAAATTGTTGAACAAGACCGCACCTACAACCTTCTTTTGGGACTCAATCCAATCTATGATGGAGCTCGCAGCCGCATCATGGCCACTCGCCCTCTGCCATCCTTGCGAGAAGTTTTTTCTGAATTAAAGTGGGAAGAAAGCCGCAAAGTTTTGACCAATAGCATCCCAAAAGTTGATGCACCTTTGGAAGCAGCAGCCTTTGTCTCTAGACCCAACAATGCAGACTCCAGACCTAGGCGAAATGGTAAGCTCTGGTGTGACCATTGCAACAGAACTGGGCATATTCGGGATACATGCTGGAAAATCCATGGCAAGCCAGCTGATTGGAAGCCAAGACAAAACAGAGACTTTAATCATGTTGCTGCAGTTGTAGAAGATGTTCCGCAAGCAAAATCCGAAGGCCATACATTTACAAGGGAACAAGTGATAGCCATACAACGCATGCTGCAAGATTGCAATAAGGACAAATCTAATCCCTCATCTGATAGTCATCAATCAGGTACATTCCATACAGCTCTCCAATCCGATCTTGATAAATGTGATTCCTGGATGGTAGATTCTGGGGCTACAGATCATATGACTGGTAATTCCTCTCTTCTTTCTGAATACTTTCCCATTTTCGAGGCAAAATCAGTAAAAACAGCAAATGGAGGCTTAGCCAAGGTTCACGGAATTGGTGTTGTTCACCTATCGTCAACCATATCTTTAACTGGAGTTCTCTACGTTCCATCTCTTACCTGCAATTTAATTTCTATTACCAAATTGACCAAGGATTTAAAGTGCACAGTCAAATTTACCCACGTTGATTGTATTTTTCAGGATTTGGCATCGGGGAGGACGATTGGCAGTGCTAGGGTCTCTAATGGTTTATATCAACTTTACACAGCCGCGGTTATGAAGACTCAAGACAGCACATTTGCAGCAACTAGCAATTTGAATAAGGCTCTTTTATGGCATTTTAGATTAGGGCATCCAAACTTTCAATATATGAAAAAGATGTACCCTTCTTTATTTAATGAGAATTCGAATTTTCCTTCATGTGATATATGTCAACTTGCAAAACAAACTCGGTCTCGTTATCCCTTACAAATGCATGTTCCTTCTAAACCATTTGCCATTATCCACAGTGATGTGTGGGGACCTGCAACTGTTAAAAGCCTTACGGGTGCTCGTTGGTTTGTCACATTTATTGATGATCATACTCGAATGACATGGGTGTACCTATTAGCCAATAAATCTGAAGTCACATCCACCTTTAAAGTCTTTCACAAAATGATCCTTGCCCAATTTCAAACCCAAATCCTTACCCTTAGATCTGACAATGCACGTGATTATTTTAACTTGGACCTTTCAGCTTACCTAAAAGACCATGGCATCATCCACCAGAGCTCTTGTGTCAATACCCCACAACAAAACGGTGTATCTGAGAGAAAAAATCGCCATTTACTTGAAGTTGCTCGTAGCCTACTCTTTGCCTCAAATACATCCAAAAATTATTGGGGGAAAGCTATTCTTACAGCCACTTACCTTATCAACCGCATGCCATCTCGGGTATTACACTTCTCCTCACCTTACCAAACACTCCTCACTGCATTCCCTTCATTGACCTTAACCCCAAATCTCCCACCAAAAATTTTTGGTTGCACCGTGTTCATTCATAACTCTCAAGGTGGTAAATTGGATCCTCGGGCTCTTAAGGGCATCTTTCTTGGCTATTCCCCTACTCAGAAGGGGTATAAATGCTTCAGTCCAACCACACATCGATTCTACATTACTAAAGATGTCACCTTTTTTGAACATCAGCCTTATTTTTCCCAAACCGCCATTCAGGGGGAGATCCCTAATTCCAAGGAATGGTTGTTTGTGACTAATACTCCAGAAAACTCTGCTTCAACAGCCCCTACACCGGTCTTAGGTGAATCTCAGGAAAATGACACTTCATCTAATGGCTTATCCTCTTCCAGCCCGCTCCAGAAACCGCCTGAACAGCAGCCCCTGCAAGTCTACACGCGACGGCCCAAATACAGAACAGCTTCTGAGATGCTTGAACATGTTGACAAACAGATTACCTTGGCTCCTGGTCCAACTGAAGAAACCATTAGTCCTGCACTTGACCAAACTGAATCCTTGCTGCCAAGTTCTGATGATGCTCTGCACATGCCAATTGCACTTCGTAAGGGGGTAAGGACATGTACAAGTCATTCCATCTGTAATTTTATATCCTATGCTAATCTTTCCTCCAGGATGCAGCATCTAGTCAAGAACATTGACAAGGAAACCATTCCTACATCCTACTTTGAGGCATCTAAGACTACTGAATGGTGTTCTGCTATCCAGGATGAATTGCATGCACTCAAAAAAAATGGCACTTGGGAGATAGTTACCTTACCACAAGGAAAATCAGTGGTTGGCTGTAAGTGGATTTTTACCATCAAATATAATGAAGATGGGAGTATTAATCGCCATAAAGCAAGACTTGTGGCCAAAGGATTCACTCAGACACAGGGCATTGATTACCAGGAAACCTTTGCTCCAGTAGCAAAATTTAATTCAATTAAAATTCTTTTGTCCATTGCTGCTTGCCTAGATTGGCCCCTTTGGCAAATGGATGTGAAGAATGCATTCTTAAATGGTGACTTAGAAGAAGAGGTTTACATGGAAATTCCCCAAGGAGTGGAAGATGGTCAAGGATCTCGAAAGGTATGTAGATTATTAAAATCCCTTTATGGTTTGAAGCAATCTCCAAGGGCTTGGTTTGATAAGTTTACTGCAGTTGTCAAAAATCAAGGGTACTCCCAATGTCAAACTGATCATACTATGTTTGTTAAAACTGCACCTCATCAGAAAATTACAATATTAATTGTCTATGTTGATGATATTGTGATTACTGGTAATTGGGAGGATGAGATAAAGCAATTAAAGGAGACGTTAGCTCACAAATTTGAGGTCAAGGACCTTGGAAAATTACGATATTTTCTTGGAATGGAAGTGGCAAGAACTAAGGAAGGAATTTTAGTTTCTCAAAGAAAATATACTCTTGATCTGCTGAATGAAACAGGGATGTTGGGATGTAAACCTTCTGATACACCAATGGAGGCGAACTACAAGATAGGACTCAAACAAGAATGTGCTTCGGTAGACACTGAGAGATATCAAAGACTAGTTGGAAAACTCATTTATTTAGCCCACACTAGGCCTGATATTAGTTTCCCTGTGAGTGTGGTCAGTCAATTTATGAACAGCCCAAATGAAGAGCACTTGGAAGCCGTCTACAGAATCCTACGATACTTAAAGATGACTCCTGGTAAAGGATTGTTCTTCAAGAAAAATTCCAGCCGTGATATTGTGATTTACACGGACGCTGATTGGGCAGGATCCATTATCGATCGAAGATCAACCACAGGCTATTGCTCATATGTGTGGGGAAATTTGGTCACTTGGAGGAGTAAAAAACAGTCTGTGGTAGCCAGAAGCAGTGCTGAAGCCGAATACAGGGCATTGTCCTTAGGCACTTGTGAGGGAATGTGGATTTTAAGAGTCCTAAAGGAGCTACACCTCGAATACAAGGATCCTATGAAGATTTTCTGTGATAACATGGCCACCATTGGAATTGTCAATAATCCAATCCATCATGACCGTACCAAGCATGTTGAACTTGATAGAAATTTCATCAAGGAAAAAATTGATGCAAATATTATTGATCTAAGTCACATTTCCACAGGGTCCCAGATTGCTGATATCTTAACCAAGTCTTTATCAAGAATTAAATTTGAAGGACTAATTTCCAAGCTGGGAATGCTGGACATCTACCACCCAGCTTGAGGGGGAGTGTTGCAATCCCTAGTTTTCAGCATCTAGAATGTTTTATTTTTCCTCCTTAATCTTAGGAGTTTGTTTCGTTATTTGTTATTTAAATTCCTAGGATTAGTTTGTTTCTGATATTTTTCCTGTTTAGTTAAAATAGGATTCAGTTTTCTAGTTTTATCTCTTTCCCTGATTATAGGGATTTGTTGCACTGGAATATTTCTGGTGTCTATTTATTGTACGTTTTTTTCTTTTAGTTTTAATGGAAAAACTGGTTCCATCATTCAAACTTTCTATACAGCGAGTGCTGGAGATCCAAACCATGTAGTTCTTTCATCTTAACTTATATTGTTCTTTCTCTTCAAAGTATTTTTTATTTTTTTTCTAAAGTCTTGTGGAAGTAAAATAAGGGGGCGAATCGGAGCAGTGGTAAAACTGTTCCTTCATGACTGAAAGATGTTCGAATCCAGGAAACAGCCTCTTTGCAATTATGCAAGGGTAAGGCTGCGTACAAGGATTTCCTCGCCCCACACTCGCTAGTCGGGTTTAACGGGGAGTGGTTTTTTTTTTTTTTTTTTGTGGAAGTAAAATGAAGACAATATAAGTTAAAATTTAGAAGTATTTATGTATGGCTGGCTAAGGGAAGAAAAAAAAAATCGAAATACATTGAAGAATGGCTAAGAAGCTTGTATTGGTTATTTGAGAAGTTCAACTAGAATTAAAAGCCCGGGAATTGTAAATGGCTGTAATGACATGTAGGTTAGAGATAATTTGAATGACATTAATCTGAGTGATGTTGAAATCAGAATCATCTTTTAGAAATACTCTTGGTATCTTTAATTGCACTCATTTTCTATTTTTCATATCATATATGATAGAGCCTTCTCTCAAATTATTATTGGCTTTTTTTTCTTTGCCATTTAGATGGGGGCAGAATTGGAAATTCAGCATCTAAAAGATCGTTGTACAATGTTAGAATCAGCATGTAATATTCCTCTGACATATGTTGAGAAGACAGTAATCAACTCATCTACTGAGCTGCATTTAGACCCCAGAGATTCATTATTTTTAATAGGAGGCTTTGATGGAGAATCATGGTTAGCAACTATGGATTTGTATTGTACTTCTCAGAATGCGATCAAATCTCTCAAGTCTATGAGCTTAGTTCGTTCACATGCTTCAGTTGTAGATTTGAATGGGGATATTTATGTTTTGGGGGGTGGAAATGGTCATGTTTGGTATGACACAGGTATGAGATCTTGCTGTGGTTCTCACATTGTTATTTTTTAAGCTGAGATGAAGTTTTTGTTAACCTTTTTATCTTCTATTTGTGTAGTTGAATCATACAATCCAGTTCTTGACAACTGGACCTTGTGCCCCTCTTTGAACCAGAAGAAAGGAAGCTTGTCTGGAGCTGCTTTGAACAACAACATATTTGCTGTTGGTGGTGGTGACGAAGATGACTGCTTTTCAGATGTTGAGATGCTAGATTTAGACATTGGACGATGGATCCCTACACGTTCAATGCTAGAAAAGGTAAAGTGGGACTATCAAATGGTAAATATTTCAGGTCTTGATTGGGATTTGAGAGGGATAATTATGTATAACTGCAAAACAAAATGAGGGCTTGTGTGATTCTTCTGGCTTAAGCTTCTTAGCATGCCAACTGGAAATCAATATTTTGTTGGATGTTGCTTCTTTCCATTTACATTTTACTTTTCTCGTTTATGTTTTTACATGAGGTGACTATGTAGGTAGGTCTAAGATGTTATAAGGGCAGCTTATATCATGATATAGTCCATATGCTTGCACTTTATATATTATAGTCAACCTTGTGCTTTTAATACTTCTATGTATTAGTTACTTCTAGGATGTGATTTTGCAGCTCTGCCTCATCTGAATCTCTTCTTCTCACGTTAGAGAGTAAATAATTAATGATCATTTGGATCACTTGCACCGGGGTTTGCCCTTTATCATTTCGATCATTTCTTTGAAAAGCATACAAAATTAGTGGACTTATTGCTTGAATACTCTTTTATATTTCCAGAGATTTGCTCTTGCTGCAGTGGAACTCAATGGTGTGCTTTATGCTACTGGTGGATATGATGGAAAGGATTATTTAAAGTAAGATATATAACTTGATTTCCATTCAATTGATCCATATCTATAATTAAAACCCATATCATGCAAAAATGGTTGATCTAGACTTTTTTATTATTTTTTATAACTATACTTATTTCTGTACTTATGTGAGTGACACTTCCTCATAACTGCAGGTCTGCTGAAAGATTTGATCCCAGGGAACATTCTTGGACCAAAATACAAAACATGAATACAAAGCGGAGCTGCCACTCATTGGTTGTTCTAAATGAAAAATTGTGAGTTCAACTCCTTTTCTACTCCTTGATAGCCTTTAATTTTCATTTTATTGATGAAGTAGTAATTCAGACTTGCACAAGTGTCCTGTGAGTGTTTTCTTGTTTATGTGTAGCACTTAACTATGCTAATTTTATTCTGTTTCAAATTATCCTCCCCGGACAATCTGTGAGACCACATCTAAATTCGATGATTTGCAAAGAATGAAGGAAAAATCGGGCGGAATGTCATAAGGGGCTCATTTTCTACTTAAAAGTTACCCAAAGTAACTTTTTAAAATCTAAAGTTGTTTTCTAGAACCATTTGGTAATCATTTGGAGAGCTCTCAAGTTATCTGTAGACCACTTTGGACAAAAATTCTGTGGTCATTAACGGGGTAAAAATTGTTTAGATAAAGTACTGCTATTCTAGTGAGAGACTTAACTTTTCTGTCACTTTCTGTGCTTGACTGATACATGTTTCGCTTGAACTCCTTCATTCACTGCCTAGGTATGCTCTGGGGGGCTTTGATGCAAGCGCAATGGTTCCAAGTGTTGAAGTGTTTGATCCTCGTCTTGGGGTATGGATGATGGGGGAACCAATGAATCATCCTCGGGGTTATTTTGCGGCTGCAGTGGTCAAGGATTCCATTTATGTGATTGGGGGAGTTAAAGTTGGTCAGAACATTGTAGAAACAGTAAGTACATCTATTAGCAGTAATCTTTTGCATTTGGTGATACATTTAGGACTAGCCTTATGTTTATAATTTATAATTATATGTCTATATTTAAAAAATATATATATTACAGGTTGAGAATTATAAAGAAGGTCAGGGATGGAGGGAAACTTGGACAACAGCAGTTGTCAAGAGGGGTTTCATGTCAGCTATTGCCTGCACTCATCAGTGACAGAAGGTTGTTCTGTGGTTATGTAGACGCTCTTCTTTCTCATAGCCATTGCTTTTTGTGAAGTCATAGGATAAAGATATATTTTTGCATGATCCAAAATAGTGCTTTATATTGGCATTGGTTTTGGATTTACTTCAATGCCATTCATTAGGGTTAGTTTCACAGAGCGATTGCTGTTAAGATGTCTGTCTGTTTGATATAAAAGCTGTGCAGAGTTAGTTTGTGCATAAAGGATTTAGAATGACGTTAACATTGTATATGAAGTGACCCTTTTCATTTTCGATCAACTTAAATCTGAAACTGTTAATGTTGTTTGCAGTTTTCTAATTCAAAAGAGAAGGTTTATGGTAATGACTATGACAATAACAGTGAATCACCCTCTGATTCTAGGAGCAAAATACTCTAATTGGAAAGTCAAATATAATTATTTCCATAATCAAACAGGATGCAAGTTGAATGAACCTAATTTGTAGAATTAATAGTCCAGGTAGTGTACTACTCTAATATAGACATCTACTGAATAAACCATATAACTATATGTAATACTCGAAGAAACTCTAATGATATTACTTAATTTTTTAAGATTCTTGGATATGTGCTCAGAGGCTGTTATGCATAGCTTGGAATCCTCGTTGTCAAGCCCCTCTATAATAAAATATAATCAAACTTTCTTCAAGGGTTGGGCTTGTTCATCGTTGGAGGAATGAAGAAAGGAAAAACGTTGAAAAGCCTATCTAGTTATATAGTATATGCCACTGAAATATTGATCTCACTTACACTACAACTGATAAAAAGCTGTGAAATGATATGGCACATGTCTATAACTATCACAAGTCATTGTGCTTACATTATCATAATTGAGCATTGATTTTCTATACATAATCTTGTCTTAAATTCATAACCTTCATGGGGGGCAGTATCATAATGGTCTTACTGAAAAAACCCGATTTTACCCAATAATGAAAAATTGTTAAAAATAAAATGTGAAGAATGTATTACTTATATTCATAATGTTTTAAAAGAATTACGCCAATATTTTTATGTATGAACATAAATATAAAAAAAAAATGATTTTTCATATAACTTTTTTTATTTAGTTGTCGAAGTTACATTCAATACTTTTGCATTAGAAAAATAATTTTACATCATTTAATTTTTTAATATAAGGATTAAATTTATTATTTAAGAATTTAACTAATAATTATAAAAATATTAATATAATTTCCAAACAAAATAAATTTTTATTACTTTTGAAAATTTACTAAAATGTTTCTCAAATGAAAACTTAAATAATTCTTTTGTCCTGATTCATATTTTGACATGCTTGATTTTTTTATAGTTCTTTTTTCGTATTTTTTTTATATTTTAATCATCTTATAGATTTCTTGATGTAGTTGTTAACTTTTATATTGAAGCGTATTCCTTTGTTTCTTTTTGGAAAGACAGGGCTTAAGAGCCCAAACAACAAAAGAAACTTAAAAGGAAAATTACACGTAAAAGCCTCTATCAAATAAAACTTCAGCCATGTTTGCTAGCTGATGTCGATGCTGTAAGGAAGTCATGTTGTTGAAAATAAAGACCTAACTCCTCTTAATGGCCATGTCTGCGAGACCAAAAAAATAGTAACAAAAATGAAATATCAAATAAGTATACGTTAAAATTATAATGAAATCGGATGCTAATAAAAACATTTTTGTATAATGAAATTCTAATTGATACAAAAATAGTATTTTAAATTTAAATGTCTGTATAGTTAAGTATAAATAGTATAAAGTTTGAGTGATAAAGTAATTGAATGTTGTTTTAAGTAACTGAAATTTCAAGCAATTAAGAAGATATACGAATATGCAAATATGAATGTCAATGAACCTGCTCGTAAAATTTAGACACTAAATTTCTAATTTTGTCAACGAAAACTTATTAAGATTACTCCATTTATTGAAATAATATCACATCATTCATATTTTAATGATCAAAAGTTTGTACACCATAGGAAAATCACTACTTTTAGGGAAAGCCCGTTTAGACATTTTCAATAGTTATAACAATTTCACCATTATACTCATTGAAAATATTGACGTAATACACATTACTCAAAATCTAAAATTTCGTTCAAGATTATCCGAGCTTGCTTGTCTCAAATTATTATTACAAAAGACAATTATCCATACCCTCCGTTTACCTTTTTTTTTTTTTTTTTTTTTCCAAGATACTTTGGAACTGCATAGGTATTTAACGAGTAGTTATCACTAGCACAACTAAAAACAAGAACAAAATAATAATTTAATTTTTATTAACCTGAGAAAGATAAACTTGTTTTTCTTTACAAAGAAGTACTAGTTCATGTTTTGGTCCCCCAAACCTTTGGACGGGACTAACATTTTCAAACAAACATTCTAAACCGATACAAACCTTCAATGTAAGAGAATTATCTTTTGGGGTTCTGTAAAACGGGGCAACAAAAGCAAAGTTTCTTACCTCTCCAGAGCCTTCAAAACTGTCCAAATCTAGAAAGACATATTGTATTAAACCATCATCCATATTCATAATCAGCCACAACCTATTCTCACTTGAGATATTATGGAGGGTGATCTCACATGGTATACCAACAGGTAGTCCTGAAACAAAGGGAAGAGGATGCTCGGAGTCATTGCTGAGAATGCTTAGTTCTGCCTTTAAATGTCTGATTGTTGCACGGAACACAAACTGCTTCAGGGAGAACAACTTGAGACATTTATCAAAAGGAAATGGACTGCATGAAGCTTCTTTGATGTAGGTGCTACTTAAATGTATTAATTTCCCAAGTTCAACTACGAAATTAGATGGCAAAGCTGATCTTTCTTTAAGTAGAGATTCAACATGCAAATATATAGCAGTCAACCTCTTGAATGTAGGATTGAGAGAGCAGAATTCAACTTTACATAGCCTGAGGGCACAGGTCACTAATATTAGCTCCAAGACATTCAATTCCTCTTCTGCAGAAAAACCTATAAACCTACTCATCAATTCTTTAACCCTCCTGTCAAGTTTTCCCAGATTAGATTCCAATTCTCCCATTCCACGAGAACACAAACTTTTCGCTGGCAGCAAGTGCTCCCATACTTTTGCAAGTAGCTTTATTATCCGGAGATACAGTAAAGTGAATGCCATAGCATCACCAGATCCCAAAGAATCAAATGTCAGAGTTGTTAACTCTTCCTTCAAACATCTGCATCATTATCATCATCACCCCCAAAGGAAGAAATAGACAATATTAGATGAATACATGCTAAATTAAACAATCAAAAGATAAGAAAATGTCATATAAAAGCAGTTTATAAGCTTGCAGGACACCTTAAATTTCAAGTCCTCAAACCGAAGATAGACACCATTAACCAACCAGAATACCCACATTACGCATGCAATGTAAACTCAGCACACAAATATGCATCAATATGCCAAAATCGAGTTACTGAAGTAAATGCCAAGGCACACGTTTTACTGAAGCTATACTATGGTTTATTACCTCAAGAACTTCAGCACTTCATTCGTAACACCTGACTGTATCATTGGCCACATATCAGGGAACTTCGCAAGGATATAATTAGTGAAGTTTATAACTTCATTATACACTGATTGCTGTTGTTCTACCTGGTAATTGGCTACCACTTTTGTCACCCGCCTGCTATGGGACTCAATTTCAGAGTCAATCACCTCATTGCTGGCAAAATTTGGAGCATCGCCTTCAAGTACAGGCAAACGTCGATCCCCTTCCCTAAGGTTAATATTCGTAGCAGAATACCCTGTAGATCTGCTTTTCTCACATAGGTAGGCCAAAAGGGCATCCCTATCCATGACATCACTAAAAGCACAACATATTCTAGCCAGCAATGTAACTGCATAAGAAAACATTACTGGTGGTATACTGCCTATATCTGCATTCAAGAGCGGAGCAGATATAGAAAGGATTAATAGTGCAGCTATCCTTGCACTATTAAATTCTATGCTTCCTTCAAAAGCTGCTTCTACCTATACAGAGCAACATCAGAAAGTAATCAGTGCCACACTTTCTAAGGACTATAGCCTATAGGTACATCAGTTTCATTGGCATGCAAAATATGCCAAATATTAAAGAAGATCTGTATATTGTTAAATCATAATCTGACCTCTACAGAAATTTCTTTAATAATCAAGCCAACAAATTTCCTATGATTTCGTCCAAGATGAGAGAAAGCAGAAAACACATCAGCTTCATCCTGGAAAGATTTAAACATAGAGAAGAAATAAAAGTTAAGAAGTGCTAAAAAGTGGTCGTATTGAGTATCTTGGCTCCCGTTATACAAATGTAAGGGACTAAAAAGTGCCAAAAAGATGATGAACGGTGTAATTGATAAAGCAAAAGAAATATTTTGGATGAAATGAGGAAGGGACTATGATTGTAGTTATTATCAATAATTTTCCTATAACTTATTTTTCTTTTGAAAAATCTAATATTTCTTTGTTATGGAATCCTTCCCTCTTTCACTTTTGCTCTTTCAATAGTTGTGGGAAAGCAAGTGCTTTGAATGACCATAAGATATTATTTTCTCCATGGCTGGTTCTGAATTCTGGATGATCCTAACTTTAGTAAACATTAAATCCTCACTGCTGTGAGCCTGGTTTTCACTTAAATCAATTCCATATGCCCATTTATCTTATCCTATTCCGTTACGTGCCTCTGGCTATTAAGGATACTTTTGAAGCCAGAACAAAATTTCAAAAGTGATGAATTATTGATGCGTGAGTACAGTAAAGATAAGACTATCATGTAAAGGGGGGCAAAATACAAGTAAACAAGGATATCAAGTAGCTTCAATAGAGGACATGTAAAACAGCCAACAAGTATCTCAATTGTGAAAGGAGACGGTGATGCAAAATGCAAATTATTAGGCTTGTTTAACAATGAGAAACAGTTAAGATAAAATGGACAGGTTAAAAGATATAATTGCAATATATGTAGTCAAGGGTAAGTTCTTTATAGCCTGAACTGTGAAATAAAAATATACATAGTCATCAAAGTCAAAAGTTTTCCCAATCTGTTCTGCTTTTCATTTCAATTCAAGGATTCTGACAGCCAAATGCTGAGTGAAGGGGACAATGGTTGAGTTGACCATCAGTTTGAGGTGAGTTTGATAGGTAATGAGTAACACAATTATAAATTATTAGAAACATAGATTTTCAGGGGTATATCAAAAGAATAATAAGAATGAACTCAAAAACATTACAGTCAAACCATCAACATGAAAATGACCACACAAGTGAAACGAAGATTTCATTTGCAATGCCATAACAACTTTATCTAGTGAAAAAGACAATGGGAACATATTACAAAACAAACCTCTGGATATCTGTCTAAATTTTCCATAAGTCCATTAATAAATGATTTGAACAGTGCCAAATCATTTAGCTTCACTTGTTTAGCTATTTTCCTTTCAACATATCTTACTTCTCTATTGTTGTCCACTAGAACACCAAGAAACTGCAAAATAAATTGAAAATAAGCAAATATCAATGACAAATTGCCACATAGACAAGATAAAAAAGTACTGCAATTAGTTAAGTCAGCATGAGAAAATTTCATCTGTTTAGAAATTTAGGTTTTTTAAAAAACATTTTCATTTTTGGATTTATTTATTTCGAAGAAATAATCGCTTTTTTTTAGCAGCTTCCTGAGAAAGCTTTTGAAAAAAAAAATATCATTTTCCAAAAATAATACGTAGCCAAACATGCTACTGATATCCATATCCCATCTCAAAATTCCCATAACCCATTCATGCTGATCACTAGATTTTATTTACGAAGAAGTTTTATCTTAAAGCCAAACCTTGTGGGCCATCTAAGAAGGATGTTTTATAGTTGAAGAGTAAATGTGTGTAGCTATGTGAAAATATATTATTGTTAATGGAAAAGGCATAAACATAACAGTCCCAGGGAATTGATTTGGGACCATTGGTTGGTGCTGCTTCTTTTTTTTTTTAAGAAAGAAGTGTTTTTTTAATTAAGATATGTTGTTAAATTTTTATTTTTTTTTATCATAATTACATAAGTTTTTTGGGGAAAAAAAAACTGTTTTGTGCTTCTCTCAGTGGCTAGAAAAAGTAGCTTATGAATAAAAGCTCTAAAAGGAATATATATCATAAAAATGCCTTTTTTCAAAATCCACACGCACTAGTAACTAAATCTATTGAGTTTTTCTGTGTATAATTTGATTTTCCCACAGATACCAAAACACAAAGTTGTTTTGGTTTAGTATACATCCAATAGGCCATCCAACCAATCTCAGAAACGATATCTTTTTGGTTTCCATGAAGAACAATTTTTCCATGCACCTCAGTAGTCATTCTTTACTTTCGAAAAGTAATATTTTCAATCCCAGTGACCTAGTTCATTCTAAAAACCTAGTAAAAAACTTATTCATCAATTGAAAACCCAAACCACTACAACTCTACTCATCTTCCAGGAAAATAACTACACCACCAGCATAACTCTTTGACCATAAAACTTCCAAATAAAAATACAAAGTGTATTTTCCAAATCTGTCGTCCCTTAGAAAACAAGGTAAATCTTCAGCTTAAGAAAAAAAATAACACACTGTAATAATTATATCTTCATACAGCAAGAGGAGACAGGTTCATAATTTGTCCAACAACAATGAGATGCATCTTGCAGTCTCAAACAAAAGGAAAATTGTAGGCACTAAAATATATACTGGATATAGAGCAAAAGAATTAATGAAGGATGAGAAACATACCATGTGCAAGTGCTTTTCTTGAAGCTTCAGACAGCCATGAATTTCCATATGATGCATGGTTTCTAAAGCTTGTAACCGAACCACCACTGAATCATCATTCAATATATCCATTAACATGTTTAAGGCTTCACGAGCAAACTCAATGGAGAGGATTGTCAATGTGCGTAAGGACTGGCATGCAGACTTCCTCACCTTCAAGTTATTTCCATATAATAACATAAGGAATATGCCTTGAAATAATACAAGATAGTTACAGTCAATTTTTATATGAACCTTGGTAAACAAAGAGCAATATATGACTTTCCGAATAAGTTACCTCAAAGAACTCATCCTCAAGTCCATGAACTAGTGCACCAGCAACACTAGTTGCCAACAAATCAAATTGTTCAGATGTGCTCTGACCCAAAGTTTCCTTTTGTTTTCCAAACCCTAAAACTCTCTTTGATAAGCTTTGCAAAAGAAAATCCTCAGATACTATTTCCATCTTACTAAGACCAACAAAGGCTTCAACCCTGACCTTCATGCTCATATCTCTTGCCATAGAGCAGAGCTACATGCACATGCAGTGAATCGGTTATGTGACATTGAGGGAACCAGCCAACAACTGTCAGAAATGCTTGAAAACTTAAATGGATATTTAACACAAAAAATTGGAACATGGAATCCATGAAATCAAATGCAACCAACAGTATAAGAATATACCTTGGCAAATACTTCATTGGACCAATAGGCCTTCATGTCTGCATTAGAAGCTGCTAAAATCAGACCCCATGAAGCAACCTGAAATATAACAGCTCACATCATTCAAAGAATCCCCACCATCATCGCTCCATCAGTTTACACAATTAGCTCAAAAACAGAATATTAATCATTCAGCATTTACTAAACTCAACTAAACTAGAACACGGCAGCTGGTGACACTAACACCGAAACATCTGATTTTCTCATTCTAGTCTCACCGTGACACAATGTCAGGGCAATAAAAAAAGGGTAAATGCTCATTTAAGTCATTTAAAAATATACTCTTGTTTACAGGTAATATCAAATTAGTCTTTTAATATAGTAAACACCCATTTTAGTCTCACTCAAGATCACATTAGCCTTTTGTTTTATAGGTGATATCAAATTGGTCTTAAAATGGCAATTAATGGGAATGCCATCAGTTTGGTACACTGGAAGACCAATTTCATGCTATTAATCAAAATTGAAATACTACTTTGATGTAATTATAAATAGAGAACCAATAACACGCAAGAATATTTTATAGGACCAAAATTAAAATTTACCTATAAAATGAATGAAACATACAACAGATTAGAAATCAAATATAAAAAGAGAGACAACTCAGGAATCGATCCTCTTGTGTTAAAATTTCAAGTGACCTTGTTATGTTCAAATTTCACACGTGGCTATTTCTCTCTAAATTCGCAAAATTTAATAAAGTCTCACTTGTTTAATATCTAAGAAGAGAGATTTAGTCCCAAAAATTTAACATAACCAATGACCAAGGTATATCCAAAATGTGGAGAGATCTTTCGACTATGGCGTAAAACTAACAAGTCTCATTCCGCATTTCATATAATTGATTTTTGACTATTTAATGATTATAATTTATTTGAAATTAATAATTAATTAATTAATATAACTCAATAAATTATAACATATAAAAATACGAAAATTGAGATGAGAGTAAAATTTTTTAGCTTTAACATGACCAAGATATATACAAAATTTTTCATATTACATATTCATGTAAAATTTTATCATAAGAAATACCCATAGAGAGAATTGAATTTTGAATTGAAGTAACTTACAACACGAACAGCAGAGAACCTAACACAATCATCTCTATCACGAAGAAGCTGACCAGCACGTTGATAACACCCTTCCACCAAGCCAAGGTCTTTGAACTCTCCACGCTCGCTCAAACCAACAAGCCCTTCCAACGAAGCTTCTCTCACGTAAGGGTAAGGGTCCTTCGTGAACCCTAACAACACCGCCAACAACAAAGCGGGTCTGACCCGAAACCGCAAACCCGCATTCCTCAGCATCCAAACCCGCGCCGGCACGGAGGGTCCGAAACACAGCGACACGAAGACACCATCGTCAATTTCAAGCCCTTCCGCGAAACCCGAAGTGAGAGCCTCGAAGGACTCGACGGCGAGGCGAGTCGATGACTCGGTGGCGGGGAGGAGCGAGTCGAAGGCGAGTTGGGAAAGGGAAGGGTGGTGATTGGCGAGGTCGGAGAGAAGCTTGAGGGCGTGGTGAGTGAGTTGAGGAGAGCGAGTTAGGGTTTCGAGGATTGAGGAAACGGTGCGTTTTGGGGTTGAAGGGTTTATGAGTAGGGACCTCATGGAAGAGAAGGTGTGGAGAGAGATAGATTGTTCGATTGGGTTTTGTTCAGGTTCAGGTGTATCGTCTTGTGGTGGGTCCATCGCCGGAAAACTAAGAAGGTGACGGCGCCGGAGCAAAGAAACTTGGTGGTGTGGTGGTGGTGGTGGTGGAGGAAGCATAGCACCTTATTCTTTATTTTCAAGTTTTAATCAACAATTATCTTTAATATATATATTTAAATTGGGATATGAAATTATTTATCCTACCTACTCTTTTTCAATCAAAATCTCAATAATATAAGAAAAAAGTGAAAGTTAATTAAGATTCATAAAAAAAGGTTGTAAAAGAAAAAGAAAAAAGTATAACCCCCCATTTAAATTTTTGGTAATCGTTAAGTATATGTCTTTGTATAGTTTAATGGATTTTTAATCTAATATGCAGGCATTTAATTCATTAAATGAGTTTATTTTTTTTGACTAATTTAAATTTATTAAGTAAATTATTTTCATTAAATGGGTTTCATAAGTTAATGATTAAGATTTGTGAGACAAATAATTGAGTTTAACTGTATAATACTCTTCAAAGTAAATATGAGTTCCTAATAAAAAATACGGTCTCCACATTAGTCTTTTATAAAAAAAAAAAAATAGTAAGTTAGTTCCTGTAAAATTCAAAGTGAATCCATTTTAATTTTTTTGAGAGATTACTATGAGTCTTTTTTGAATTTGTGAGAGATCACGATTTCATCTAAATGAATTCACTTTGAAATTCACTTTGAATTTGTTAGAAACCTTGAGACTAATTTTTTTTTTGTAAAAGACTAAAGTGAGTACCGTATTTTTTGTCAGGGGTAAAAAATGATATTTACTCTACTCTTTAATACATTATCAAAATTTCAAACGTTATTGATTTTAGCATTAGCATTTCTCGAGTGTTTATTCATGCATAATTTCATTTACTTTTACTTGTATTTGTAATGTCTTATATAATTATTGGTTTAATTTTGACGTCATAAGTGGATAACTGCAATTTGTATGAGTTATGTACTTAGGAATTGTCTTCCAATATTAGTTTTTCTTCTAATATAAGGGTTTGATACTTTTACTGAAGCAAGCAGAAGACTAGATTAAGTAGTAACTTCTAAAAATAATAAATAATAAATGAAAAAGATGATATGTTCACTATACGGAATTGATAACGAGGATGGTGTGTTGTGCATTGATAATTTTTTGGTGGGTCATGGGTCACCCACCCAGGTACAGAAAAAACCTTACAGACAAGCCTACCTAATATTGGTCAGTTTGCAACTTCATTGTGGTGTGTGCCTAAGAAAACCACATCAGAGTATCCATATCAACGTGTCCAGGCCGGCCTATATCCTTCTATGACCTAGTTTATATTACGTTAAATTTGATGTATTATAAATAATCAAATACGATAGGTTTAGATTTTTTTAAAAATAAATTATAGATTTTCTCATACTTGTGGGGTCTATAAGTCTATAAATTAGTCTATATCATATTATTTATTTAAATAAAATAAATAAAAGTATTGTTTTAATAATTTTAAATAATAAAATAATATTATTTTAATCTTTTCAATAATTAAATGTTTTATAAAATTAAACAGACCAATAGGTCTAAGTCAAGACTTTTATTTTTTAAATATAAATTATATCAAACTTGTAATTTAGGCCTACATAAGGTTACAGCCTACAGGTCAAACCATGCCTAAGTTTTTTCACACAAATTTGACCTATTTAAATCAAAATCTAGTCTAACACTCTTGATGATCACTATTAGATAAAATACCTCTTATATGGATATGACAACGCGTGAAAAAATTCAAAGAAAAGTCTAAAAATAAAAAATAAAAAATTGATTTCAATTCAAACCTTATTATATGAATAAGCTATTTAAATTTGATTTCTAAGACTGAGAAGAGACGTATGAAGTGTTTGTGTAGGTTTTCAGATACTTTATTGGATTATTTTATTGTCTTTCTTCAGTGTAAAATCTCTCTCTCTCTCTCTCTCTCTCTCTCTCTCAAGAATATACTATCTTTTTAGTTCTAAAAGAGATAACCGGTATCTATTTAATCCATCATGCATTAATTTCGTCAATTTAATCCCTCAAAAGTCTAAATCCCCCAATAATTTATAGCATGTTTAGTTCATAGTTTACGCAGCTCAACCTGAATTTAGGGAGATGTTACATTCACTAGTAAAGTTTTCTACAAAGTATGGTTGAGTTGTATTTGAACATGATTATGGATCTCAAACCAATATTCAAGTGGAATTGAAAATAAAATAAAATAAAAGTTGCCTTTGGATTGGGTCAAATTTGTAAACTATAATAAAAATGATATTATATTCATGTATACATTTTTTCCCCTATATATATTGATGTATTATCATAATATTCAAATTACTTAATTTGTTTGAACCGTCGTGTATTAAAATTTATACTGTCATTCAAATATATATTATCATATCATATGATGAGCTAGATTAATTTACACCACGAGTTGTCAAACTCTTTAAATGATGTGACTGAACGACCGCGTAAAACTTTTTTACACTAATAATACATCAAAATTAAACTTATATTTAGATATTGATCTAAGTTGTACACTATGAAGAATGATAATATTAAGGGATGGTATTTTAGTGTACAATATTCGAATATATAACATTGGAATATTTGAAGTTTATACTGAATTGTTTAAAATCCAACTTTCAATATTAAATTTTTGATGTTTCACTACAAGAAAATTGGTATTTAGAGGCGGTTATTTTATCATGGAGAGGAGGTTTAAACCGCCTCTGAATGACAATGGAGGCGGTTTCAAAACCGTCGAGTTTACCACCGTCGAGAGTAAATCTGAGGCAGTTTTCCTCAACCGCTAGAATAACCGCCTTCCGATATTCAAAGGCGGTTTTTGGGGCCTCAATTATCAGAATAAGAATCTATTTGAAATTTAAAGGCGGTTTAAAGGACCGCCTCCGAATTCATATAGAGTGCAGTTATGTATTATTTTGAGGCGGTTTTACAAGTGGTTATAAGCACCTCAGTAATTAGCTTAAACACTTTCTGAGGCGATTAAATTAACCGTCTCAAGATGTCATTCTGAAGCGATTATATTAACCGCCTCAAGTTGTCATTCTGAGGCGGTTTGTTTGACCGCCTGCATAAAATAATCAGACACCTGAGTAAGGCTTAGACATTCTTCTGAGGCGGTTTGTTAATGGCCTCTAAATGACATTTTGAGGCGGAATCATTTGATAATAAACCGCCTTCGTTAGAGTTCTGACATTCTCATATAATTTCGGTTTATTACTCGGCAAAATATATAAAATTAATATTTTTATTTTTTATATATTTGTTTTATTTTTGTTAATTTAATGTTACTTATAAAAATACATTGTGCATTAATTATTTTTTTCTAATGATGTAATAATTAAATTGTTGCATTTGAGCATACATATCCATACAATTTTAAAAGCCCTCAGTTAAAAGCATAAGATATATAAATTCATCACAAGTTTAAAAGTGAATATTTGCATACATTATCCAAAATATATTAAACAACATATAGACAAAGTCTCAACTGTTATGCAAAAAACCTTGAACAAATCCCTATAATAATGACAACAACACTGTCCAAAATCAATGTCTAAATAAAATATTTAAGGTTGTGGTGGTGGAGGTGGAATATGAGGTGACGAATCTGGTCCTTCACTATGTGGGTTATGACTAGCATGAGAAGATCTTCTGACTCCTGGAGAGCCCAAATCTATAACCTGATACATTGAAAAAAAGGAAAACATACATCAAATGCTACATCAACCTGATTCCCTTAATGCAAACTATAATGCAAACTCTTACAGTCTCAACATCTTATACATTATAATAGTGCAAAAGTGTACATCCGAACTCTTAAATTTATAATTTATGAGGAATATATTTTCCAACATAATAAGTCCATTTACATATTAATGCAAACTTTACATCAAAGCATCTTAGCATTATTCGTATAACCAGCCCCTGTCATCTTTGAGTAGATACAATGTCAATTATATGCCAAAAGATTACATAAACATTATTGGACAAGATTGTCACCAAATACATATAAGGTTTCGGTTACCAAAAGATTAACATATCCAATTATTTTTGAACCTGTTGACCAAGATAACGACCCATAATCTGTGGCTATAATGAAATTCAATGAATGATTTGAACCATATGTCCTCAAGGACTCCAATAGGCCCCTTCTTAAGACATAGATTTAATTAAAATGCAAAGTACCAATTCTTTAAATAATTGCAGATTCCTTAACACTAGAATAGTTAAACATTTCAGCCTCCAAATTAGAATGACTTTGTTATCAAGAACAAATAATATCAAAAAATTTGATAGAATGAACTTTGTAAACCATCTAGTAGTACCTCAAGTATACACAGTGATACCTAAAGTAATATGAAGAACACATATTTATGACACAAATTCATAGAATGCAGCAAGTGTCCAACCAAGATCCCAAATAAAGTAATATTGCCAAAATGAGATTCCCAAAACAAAGCCCACGTTCTCTAATCAAGTGATACACATGACTTATAATCCCTACAAGTTGTAACCATATCAACATCCCAAATTTATCAACAACAAAAGCAAGCCCAAATGAAAAGAAAGCATAAACACAAACACAAATAGAGAAACCATTAAAGAAAAACAGTCATTTTTACACCACCGGTGGTGACCTTAGTGAGGGAGCAAGGCAAGCTCGGCCTTGAGGTCCTTCAGCAAAAAGTGTTAGGGCAAATTCTGAGAGAAGAGAATATACTTAAAGCGTTAGGGCAGCTTTCAAGTTTAAGAGTCGACAATATTGCAATATACTTAAAACAATTTCCGCAAGGAGGGAAACAAGTATGCCCAATGAAACTGAAAGGACAATGTTTTAAATAACATATAAATATTGCAATCTAAAGTTGGATTGGTGGTTTACTCGCAATTGCTCAACAACGTTGGTGCGGGTTCGAATCCTGGCAAATTTTTTTAGTATTTTCATTTTCTTTATTCATGTAATATTTTATTACATAATTAAATAATAAAAAATATAATTTAATTTGTTATAGGCTCTATTATTTTTTTTTTTTTTTGTCCTAGCCAAAATTGTTGAATCACAATACGT